ACGCTCAAAATTGGTCGTGCAGCTTGCCCGGGCGAAGGTAGGTAGGTTGGTGCGGGTAAATACCGTGATTATCACAATTCTTGGATCTCAATAGCTACGTTCAGCTCTGACGCCAGTCAGCAACAAGGTGGGGTTAAGTTTTTAAAACTTCCTCGTGATTAGTTGTAGAACACCCCTGACCTGAGCAACAGTCTTACTCTTCAGTGGGTCCTTCGATGCCACCGCAATGTGCCAGAGGCGACCACCACCTGATCCATAAATGAATCAGGGAGATTTTTTGTACGCCTACCTGCCCATTTTATCACTTTTTACTGACTTATGTACACTGTTTGCGTGGTCTGTATGCTCCTGTTCCGGCCAGCTTCTGTTTGTCGTGCAAATTGTGCCCAGATGCGGAGTCCTGAGCGGTGTGACCGATTCCCGAGCCGAACACGCGGTTCAAGCGGCCTCTGACGCGGCCAGTGCAGTGGCGATGATTGGTTGTGATGCGACACGTGGCCGACGGGGGGGGAGGGGGGGGGGGGGGCATCCGCCGGACGGTACGTGTTTGGCCCCCATAGGAGTGCCATTGACCGTGTATGTGGGTGCAAGCAGCGATCAGTAGTTGGGGCTTCGTAAAGATGCTCATTACATAACCCGGGCGACGATGAATTTTCAATCCTTGTTTTTCCCAAATGCAGAAATGGGTCGTCAAGAATCGTTTTGATCGCAGCATGTGACGGATTCGACAGCGTTTCAACAAGATACTTTTTTAAAAAATGGGGGGTTAGGTGGTGTTTAGACACCCTCAGGCGTGGTTGCGAATCGTGCTAAATAAGTTAAAAACGCAGAAAAAACAGTTAAACAGAACAAAATGAGTTCTCCGACCGAACATGGCCCGCCCCACTAGGATCAACAAAACTGGTCGCTGGGGGCCAGGCGGCGAGCTTGGTATCACCTAGAGTGACCGGCAGTCTTGGATAGCATCTGCCTGCGTCCGAGCTGAACTGGCGAGGTCTCCCTCACCGTAGCGCAGGGAAACAACGTGGCTTCCCCGGTACATCGAGGCCAAACAGGCCGGTCGAGCACGACACGCTGGATGCAGTCACTGCGCAGTACAGCTATCTCCACCTAATCAGACAGCTGTGGTCGTCAAAGGATGAGCGGTGTGTCCCGCTGGTAGTTGTGGTGTATGCCGTGGTCGTGGCAGATGTTTGGGGATTTCAGGCGTTATCTACGTCTGGGGTTGTATCTGCGGTAGCACAGATATTGATGACGGTTAATTGTACACCGTAGGCACCTATGTAAATTTTTTCGGCAACCAAAGGACGGAAAAGTGGGAGTTAAAGTGGTCCTTTCGTTTAGTAACTCGATCTTCGGGTCACGTATTTTGTTTCGAATCCATGTGGGTCGAGTTGAGCGCATTAATTATCGGGATTCATTGGACCAATTTTAAGGGCGATGCGTCTGGAGCAAAGTTTTCAGTCTGAACGAACCTTATCAGTAGCCAATTTTTTTTCTTCAAATCCGTGCCACAATGCACCAAAAGGGCGATTGTGTCGCATAAATAAAACACCCAACTCTCTTGCATTCGTGAACATTGCGATGCTGCATCTTAAGTGAATACAAAAGAATACGAGCAAGCTACTCTTGAATCACTGGCGAATGGCGTCACCGCATTGCAAGTGGGGGACAGATAGGATATCTGGCTATGCACACGTGGCTAACAACGGCCAATGCACCAAGTTTGGACGTCCGCACAGCCGGGCGTGCGAAAGGAGCATAGCGCACACAGCTGCTGGCTGGCCTGCACTTTGACCGCACTCGGGTGAGTATCGATGGCTGACTCTGAAGGCCCAGTGTCCACGGGACTCCAGCCGCTGGACGACAGTGACGTATTGTGATGAGTTACTTACAGATGCAGCGTAAAGCCGTCGGCACTGCGCACGGCACGATACCTGCTTGAATGGTTGTTCTGCCACAGTCCTACCTTGCAACGCCAAGAACGCAACCGGTCTACAGCTCAACTTAAATAAGCGGGCAATACCGGGCTGAAATCATAGGGTTGAAAGCGCGCGCGAACGCCTCACGCCGCGTCGAGACCGCTTCACTCTAGATGACACCGGAATCCCCACGTGCCAACCCACTCATGGGCCTAGCTCGGCGATCTCAGTTCGACACACCGGTGACCCGTAGCTGTCTCGGTCCAAACAGATGCATGCGCCGGACGAGTGCATCCGTTGCCGTTCAGCGGCCATTTTCACTACCACCCGCCATTGTTTGCTATCTTGACTAGATAAGGCTCGGCGCCGGAGCGTTGCTATGTTACAGTGCACGTGATTTTAGTTGCCTTATCCCTGTTCCGTTTCGTTCTGTTCCGTTCCGTTTCGCTCTGTTCCGTTCCGTTTCGCTCTGTTCCGGTCCGTTTCGTTTCGTTTCGTTTCGTTCCGTTCCGTTCCGTTCCGTTCCGTTCCGTTCCGTTTCGTTCTGTTCCGTTTCGTTCTGTTCCGTTCCGTTTCGTTCTGTTCCGTTCCGTTTCGTTCTGTTCCGTTCCGTTTCGTTCCGTTCCGTTCCGTTTCGTTCTGTCCCGTTCCGTTTCGTTCTGATCTGTTCCGTTCCGTTCCGTTCCGTTCTGTTCTATTCTGTTCTGTTCCGATCCTTTCCGTTCCGTCCCGATCCGTTCCGTTCCGTTCTGTTCCGTTCCGATCCGCTCCGTTCCACCTCACATCGCATCGCAGCGCTACGCAATAAGAAGTGGTCAGTATGGGGCGGTGGATCACGTCGGTGGCCACGCTCCCGCCAGCGGGAGGAGCCGCGCGATCGACCAGCTGGCTAGCACTCGTCACAGTGGGGATTTGCGGACCTCTTATGGACGGCGCATGGCGTGCCACCCGGTGCTGATCGGTCCGAGACCGGCTTGGCTCAGCCAGTCACGTTTCGGGAAGCTCCTTGCCGCGATTGATCAGAGCGCCGCGCAGTTTTCAGCGGCCAGAGCCGCAGCGCATTACAAGTTATACTCTGGAACTAAAGAGCTATTGACGTACACGCTCCATGTCTGCGGACGACTTTTTGCATCATCATGGTATCGCCGAATTTCCACCCGCATTCGACCCACACGGAAGTTAAAAATTTATAAAAGGCGACAACGCGGGAGGAGCAGAGCCCCGAGCTCAAAGCGCCGTCAGGGGAGCGATGCGAGAGCACCATCTCCCCAACGACGAGATGACGAGCAGCGACGCTGGCAAATACGTGGGTCAGAGCGTGCAGTGAACCACGTGCAATACTGCACAGACGATGGGTTCCTCCGCTTTGTGGCGGTTTTAAAGACTTAGTAGTGCCAGATTTCGACAATCACAACAGCTGGGACGTCAAATGAGAACGTGCAGAAAACGTGCCGATTTCCAGTCGCGCCCGAATTGGTCGATGGGTAATCCCTATGCTGTACGGACCAGGAAGCCGAGCCGTTCTCAATTCTTGTTATATCGATATAAGCCTGAAGTCGCTCCCAGCCGAGACATTGCTTTACAGAAAAGGATTGCACACACACACAACCTCAAGCTCAAGAACTGCAACGCATAAAGCCCAGTTTACTGTGGCCAACAACCGCCACAAAACCTGCGCTCATGCTCGGCCAAAATCACAGTGGGCGCAACCATTCAAAATGCGGCGATCTTCTCTGACCCAGATGAAAAACTGTCCACGTCTATTATCAAATAACTTGCCAGCCATCTTCTTAACAAAAAGCGCATGAATCTCTTTCGCAAACTTCCGCACGTGTCGTACGCATTAGAATAGTGTGCATCCCTATGTATTCATTGATTTGACAATCCTGCATAGGTTTCCAGCGGTACGCAGCGCTATCTAATTCCGCTTTGTCATCATCTACTGTACATACATTATCAAACTCGCACCTTTCGTCCCCTCGTTCATACAGTGCTGCACATGGCGTCTTACTAGTTTCTGCGTTGTTTTTGCCAATCGTTTGCTCTTCCCGTAGGAGCTCGTCAGCAAAGTTTTGGTTTCGATGTGAGGGAGGGGCAGCGGTCGAAGGGCGGGTCAGTAATCTCCCGAACTCCAATGACACTTCACTTCACGGCTTTATAACACCTCCTTTAGTATAACGGCCATGCGCAGCAAAGGTCACGTTCGTCTTCAGTGCGGCACATACTAACCACATGAGAGCCACAACGCTCGTAACACTGTGTGAGTGTTACGTTTCCCCATCAATTTTCCAGGCTGGGTCCCGAGTGCCGTTTACTCATTCTGGCGAAGTGGAAGCACGCGCCATTTCATTTGACTTCCTCTTGGCTTTAGCTCGGCTTCCTCTCGAATTTCATTGGGCTTTGTTCATCTAATGGCTTACCGGCGAATTGAACACTCGTACCAATACTTGGACAAAAGTGGTGTGAAGAAAGGTTGCTGGTGATTCCCTGACTGACTTCCGATAATGGCTTTCTTGGTTTCATATCCCGCGAAGCTCACCGCGTCTGTGAATTTGTATTTGTTCTGCTCAGCGCTAGCTCCCCTGAGTAAATATGATGTACGCAATTCTTCAAAAATCTACAATATTCGGAAATAAATAGTTGAAACAAATCACTCGTAAATTTACATCCCGCAACCAGACTAAACACCTCGCTCTCGTCAGCACGCCATAGAGGTACTAACTCCCCACTTGGCATGTGATCTCCACCCTTCAAGCAATGCAGGCGCGCCGCAACGCAAAGAGCAAAGGGCTAGCAACAAGAACAGCGCCGGCGTGAGGCGAACAGGTCGCCATGTTAAACCCCGAGCCCAACTTTGCAAGCGAGGTGGGACCAAAAGGACAAATGACTGGCAGATGGAACGATCTCATCAACTTTTTCGCATGGATCCACGATTTTTTGAGCAGACCCAACCGTTTTAAGAGTGAAGGCACCTCCGCGCGGCACAGGGCGCAAATCGGCGCAGCTCACCGCCAGGCACGGTTTGACAAGTCCCACAGCGCAGCTTGCGATGCGTTGCACGTCCGTCATCATCAGCCGGTCTATTTCTATAGCCATCGCATCACGGATTCCAAGGCGTAGCAACATAAAGGTATTGCATTTATTTGCCCACATTTGTTACATGCTACTGGCGCATTTAACGTTTCGATGGATGCCTGCCGAATGGCAAATAAGTTTTGACGATCTCAACCAGGTAAAATGCCATTGAACAATATATAACGCGCTTCAACCCAACGTTACTGAATATCCTATTGAAGATGCAGTTAGATTCCCACAAAAACGCACATACCAGCCCAGACAGACTATGCACATACAATACTTTTCTAACGAAACCGCGACGAAAATAGCGCACGCCCCACTTCTCCTGCATCAATGTACGATGAACGTTCTGAACGTTCCGAACTCCAGAGCTGCCCGGCAGGCTCGCCACGCTCTCCGTGCTCGCACGTTGGCGGAGCGAACCGGCACGTTGGCGAGGCGCGCTTGCAAGATTGCGTGGCGGATGGCGTGATATGACGTCATATCCGGACGGCATGCCAGCACAAAACTGGGGAGTCACTGCGTCCTGTTACGTGGGTAGATGTCGTGTTTATGCGTACTGGAGTGGTGTACAAAGCTGCACGTTGTGCACTGGGCATTGCACTCTTGCATGGGCACGCTTCTGTCCTCTACGTCGGCATACCGCCACCGTATTCCAGCAGCTGTGCTGCTGTTGTGGTACGACGATATGCGGCGCTGCTGTGCCGGCACACTGTGCTGTGCCGCTGTGACGGCATGCCGGTGCGCTGCGCTGTTGGTGTGCCGTGCCGGCGCGTTCCGCTGCTGTGCCAGCGGGGTGGTGGCACATCTGTATGTCCGTGAGCTGTGCCACCGTGCCTGTGCGCCGGTACGCCCCAGCAGCGCCGCGAGGGCTGCCCTCAGGCCAGTCTCCAGACGACGGTGGCGGCAGCCGTGGCAAGCAGAAGGGCGGCGGCGGTCGACGCGTCGCCCAGGCCGCGCCCGGCCGCACCCAGCGTCGGACAGTCCTGCGGAACGGCACATGGCACGCTGTGACACGGCCCTGACACAGCACACTGTGACACGGCCCCGACGCAGCACACTATGACATGGCCCCGACACGGCATGCTGGGACACGGCCCCGACACAGCACACTGTGACGCGGCGACGACACAGCACACTACGACTTCGCCCCGACACGGCACACTGACGCGGCCCCGATACAGCACACTGTAACACGGCCCCGACACAGCACACTATGACATGGCCACGACACGAGACACCGTGACACAGCCCCGACACGGGACACTGTGGCACGGCCCCGACACGGGACACTGTGGCACGGCCCCGACATGGGACGCGCGCTCGGCGATACCTGCCCAGCACTGGCAACGCATGCTAGTCACACCCGTCGTCACACAGGACAGACACAGCCGACCGGCGACCAGCCATGGGGGCAAACGGCACCAACCCAAATTTGGTGGTGATACCGTTTGCCCCCAACACCAAAAGGCACCAAGACGCATGCATTACCACCAAATGTAATCGCATGTGACCCGGGATAACGCATAATGCATATAACGCGTGACCATTTGGAACGGGGATTGGCTTGAAGGGGAGGGGGGGGGGGGGGGTCGTGCGAAAGAGTGGAGCCAAGGGCGTGACCAGACTTGTCTTCGACTCAAGCTGAGTCATGAATCGACTCATGACTTTTGGGGGTGAGTCTTGAGCTGAATCGGCGCAGTAGGAAAAATGCTGCATTGCGTCATGAGCTGAAACACATTCTTCGTAAATTTCATGAGCTGAATCATAAGTCGATCATTACTTACAATGCTGTCAGTGAGTCATATGGCCCAAATGAAAATGGTAACATGAGGAAACACAGCACACCCCATACAACTTAACAAACCATTTCAGTGTTCAAAAGCTGCATGTAGCACTAGTGATAACGCTTTTTGCAGATCCAATACACAGTTTGCTGTCGTAAGTTCTAAGCAGCAAGCAACGTATAATTGATCCTGAACTTAAGTTTGCGAAATCTCAACCAGGAACCAGAGGATATCATATGGTACAACCATTCTGCACTCCTATATCCTGCCCTTAAAGCAGTGAAAGATAGGCGGTCTCCAATAAAATCAAAGAGGTGGTCAAATTTTACCTGGTGAATTGTCACAACAGCAAACTAATCCATGCCTTACACCTCATTTACTACTGCCTGAACTGCCGTAACAATCCTTTTGCTTAGGCTATATGAAATAAATAGGAACACCTGATATGCGTATTGTATGTCGCACATGGCCTCGCAGGGATATTATTAAAAACTATGTCCATGCAAGACGAGACTTGTGAACGTTTGGCCCCTAAATTAAGCACTCCTGGGGTGTGGATGAAGTGGCGCACAACACTAATCTCCGTATGGCGCGGAAACCTGTCTCGACTCCTAGCCCATCACAGAGTGACCTGACGTGGTGACTAAGGTATCCTGATGGAAACCACAGTCAGCGCCTAAGTTAGCCTGTCTCTAGTTCAGTTGTTCAGAGCTGAGTTCAATGCTCATTTCCTTGCTGACTGGAAGACGCGGGTCGAGTGAAATGGAGCTCTGCTGAGGTTGTTTGTGAAAATTGAATGGTCATTTATATTAGTTATTGAGTTCAGGTAGGCAGGTAACGCTATATTATGTTGGTAACTTATACTATTTCATCGCCGTTGCAAGACCTGCAATCTGATGTTGCATTGTTGACATTCCATCGTCCACAGCGTGGCTAGTACTGGCTGGTGGAAATCCGATTACCTGCATGTGAATGCACTTGGCAGGTGCAGACTGCCAACTGTCAGGTTTAGTACAGTATAGTCCACCTTGCATGCTATATAACTGATGGGTCTGGGTCGTAAGTGCCAGGTAGAATATGCTAGCTTTGTGGCTGAGGCTTAAGAGGGCCGGTTTGTGACAGGTCACAGGAGTGGTATTGTTTGTTGCACTGCATTTCGTAGGTTCAAATTACCATCTTTCTACTCCACTACTTGTGCCTATATATATATATATATATATATATATATATATATATATATATATATATATATATATATGGGTCACATTTGAATCGAATCTTTCATTCAAAAGCTGAGTTACGAGTCAAATGATTCGAAGCAAGCGATAAGTCTGAACTGAGTCGACATTCGTGCACGCGCACATCCCTATGCATTACCGACACAGAAACTGCTGTAAAGAACAAACTTCTTACGAATAAGCTAGTCTGCAAACATGCCTAAAAGCGCCAGTGTTTCACAAATAACACTGTACGGACTCGAAATAACAGCTAACGCTAATGTACGGGCAGAGGCGTTATTGCAATTGAAGGTCAACGCCACAGTAGTAGTAAATATCACCACTAATGAACACAGTCTACACCACTGTGACCTATTCTGGCTCACGCTTATCACGTGACATGTACAGCGTGTAACATTATCGCTACGACGCGCCCCATTTACCGCATGCTTTTGCCCGCACTGTTACATTACGACCGCCAATGGCCTTTAGTCACGAGTGCTGCACTGAATTGCGCCGACTAGCCATCTGACTTGCCCAGCAAGCGCCAATGTCTGAAACGTCCATCCACGACCGCTCCATCCACCGTCAACACTTCTGCCCACCAGCGCGTCGCCGCCCATTCCACTGACCTTGACCTGGGGTCGTCGGATCGGCTCCGTCTTGTCCATCAGCCACTTGTAGCCGGCAGCGCGCTTCTGCTTGCGCAGCATCTCCCCGACCTCATCCCTGACGCGCTGGTGGTAGGCGTTCAGCCAGTCCAGCTGCCGGCGATGAAAAGCAAGGTCGCGTGCGGGCCGAGCGCTGACCCAGACAACGCGGCACACACATGCAAAACATAGCATCCTTCCAACACAGTGCTCGTTAGCAAGAGACGATAAAATGCAGACGAATGCTTTCCTCAGGCAGGTTTCGGCGTAGGCAATACGCCAAACGCAAGGAGACTTGGGTTAAGGTGCAGGCCAATAACTTGCGTAATAATAACTTTAATGCGTTTAATGCATTGGTACCTTGATGTGCAGGTTGTAGCTCACACTTACCAGTGCTGAAATTGGGACAGTTCTTGGACTCGTTGAGCGGTGAGATCAAAAAACGTGCAAAAGCCGGATGTTCGCTGATACAGCGCTAAGCTTCTTGAACCTCACCACACTTGGAATGTGACACCACCGAGGAAATCTCGTCAGCTATCACGATCAAACACAAGAAAACCACGCTCATGCAGACCAGTGCAGGCCTTCCCCGCCCCCCTCCCCCCCCCCCCCCCCCCGCCCTCCCCCGCCTCCGAGACCGATGTGTGTCCCACACCTGGATCGTTCCCAGCAAAAAATCTGGTATTTGCCGAGCGCCCGCCCGTCTCTTCTCCTGATATCACCGCACCTGTTTCTCGTTGAGCAGCTCCTCCTTGATGAGCTTGCGCTCGAACGGCACGAGGGTGACCGGCTCGAAGGCCAAGTACGGGCCGGAGAAGTTGTGCGCCAGTCCCTCGGCGAACTTCACGAACATGATGGTCTCCAGCCGGACGCCGAACTGGCCCGCCTCGTAATAGCCCGGCTCTGCGGCCCGGCGACCCGGTGGTCAGCGCACCGCCCTCAGATCCGATGGCCAGCGCACCGCTCTCAGATCCGGTGGTCAGCGCACCGCCCTCAGATCCGATGGTCAGCGCATCGCTCTCAGATCCGGTGGTCAGCGCACCGCCCTCGGATCCGGTGGTCAGCGCACCGCCCTCAGATCCGGTGGTCAGCACACCGCCCTCAGATCCGGTGGTCAGCGTACCGCTCTCAGATCCGGTGGCCAGCGCACCGCTCAGATCCGGTGGTCAGCACACCGCTCTCAGATCCGATGGTCAGCGCACCGCTCTCAGATCCGATGATCAGCGCACCGCTCTCAGATCCGATGGCCAGCGCACCGCTGAGATCCGGTAGACAGTGCAGCGCTCTCAGATCCGGTGGTCAGCGCATCGCTCTCAGATCCGGTGGTCAGCGTACCGCTCTCAGATCCGGTGGCCAGCGCACCGCTCAGACCCGGTGGCCAGCGCACCGCTCTCAGATCGCGGCAGTCCTAGCTCGACTCGGGACGATTCCGACTGAGAGCCCTCTCCCGTGGTATGGTAATGCTAAAGACCTTGGTAGCCACGTATGTCCACGACTGGCAGCACGGTTTTAGCCTCGCACATCATCCAGGCACACACCCTCTCCAGCGGGAGACAACAAGAGCGACCTTGGCTTCCGGCAGCACCCTTACATCTGACCACGATTTATTGAAACCTAGGGGCGGTGAGCATGGTTGCCCTTCATAGCATTGCCAATACTGAAACAAAAGTGCATCGCGGCAATGTGAACGAAGGCTAAGTTTAGTTAAACAACATGGGCCTGCACGGTGAGGAGGGTTTAGAACGCGGCCCAAGGTAAAACACCCACCATTTGAGAAGAACATTCCTTCCTCCATGATGTGCTCCTCTTTCTGATATATCCTCAGCTGAGTAGACGCTGTCACAAAGAAGAGAGCAACAGCATTGATCAATATATTTTCTGCAGCCTAATCATTTACATACATCAGCCAACCTGGAAAAACAGCAACCACACACGTCACGACACTGCGGCTCTGTTTGATCATGCCGAACAAACAAATGGCTAACGTAATTTGTTTTAACGCATGGTCAGTATTGATGTCTTATCTAACACCGCGACACACTGAGCAGTGTGCAAGGTATTGCATGTAACGTGCCACTTGCACCCGAAAACACAAGGGCGGATCTAGCGTGGGGTTGTTTTTTTTTTGGGGGGGGGAGGGGGCAACCGTTCGTCGCCAGCTGGCTGATGTGGGATCCGAGGTCCAGTGCATGGCGCCTCCCGCGAGTACCTAGTAGGGACAACATTCAAAACCGAAAAACACCGAAATGCTCTTGAATCTTAAACAGAAGTTAAAACAAAACAGTTAAAACAGTTAAAGTTAAAACAGACGGCAAGTAGAGGGAACTTTTGTGAAGTTCTGGGAATGCTTGGGGGGGGGGGGCAAAACATGCTCTCAGAGGTTTTTTTGGGGGGGGAATGGCCCCGTGCCTCCCCCCCCCCAGGATCCGTCCATGCGAAAACAGACCATCGCAATACATGTGTGTGTTATCTGTCGCATGCAGCCATGCCTTACCTTCATGCACCTGCAGGAAGATTCCAATGCCGTGGCCGGTGCCATGCTGGTAGTCCAGGCCCACATCATACAAATGGCGGCGAGCCAAAATATCCAGCTGGAGATATTTGGAGGTAGTTGATTTAACGAAGAATCAACGATCACAACACTTAAAACGTTGCACAAAACGAAATATACAAAGGACATCATCGTTTCAAAGTGGCTGTTCAAAGTCAAAACACGTTTCGGCAGACGCCAGGCGGGGCAGCCCCGATGATCAACATGACGTTATATATTTCAAAAATATTACGACATACAAACTGACGAACCGAACAAAATATGTAAGGGACGGAAAAGGTAGCATAAAAATTGTTGAATCGTTAGTGGGGAAAAACTTCAAACGTCTAGAACGTGAGCTTTTCCAAACATAAACATCATGTAGCAGGCGGCCAACGCCAGGCAAAATGTTTGAATATAGCGAAAATCAAGGTGCTCGGGGCTGGTCACGTGGTCAGTAGTTCAGCTGGCGTGCCTAACGCAGCAGAAGAGCTCTGGCGCGACGCGGCGGTGACCCCGTGACCTCTCACCCGGCTGTCGGTGGCGCCCTTCTTGAACACCACCCGGCCGAGGTCAATGACCCCCATCAGGACGCGGGTGTAGGCCTCGCGCTGGAAGTCGGTGGGTTGGCCGTAGTGCATGGTGCGGGTCACATCTGTGGTGCCGTCCGGGTACTGACCTGCGGACACGCGACACGGCGCCGCCGACTGAGGCACGCCCAGAGCACCCTGTGGCCGGTCCGAGTACTGCCAGCCTGTTCGACTCCAGGCGGTGGCTACGGCGCTGTTACTGTGGATTGGTTCTCCACGTCGGAACCATTGGGGCACACCCGCGGCGGGAATCAAACCAGGCTCTTCGAATTATGCGCGTATTGCGGATGGATACAGAACCCAACCGACGTCGGTCTACTCGTTGAAAGATACATTTTACCGCTGTTTTAACTGCAGGCTCGCCAGACAGTAAACACCTGGTCTTCAAGAATGAAATCTCCCAGGATCTATTAAAGCATTCTTGTGTTAACATAGCATAAACTATATATCACATGCTACGAATCACGCACCAGGTAAATACAGCAGTATACGATATCACATTGCACTGAAAACTGGGCGAAACCGAAATGCAGCCTCACGCGGGCACCGCTTACGCAGTCACCCGCCCAACACAGCATTCGATGCTACGGCGCGAATGGAGAAAGTCAACACATTTGGGGACCACACTCGGCACGCTACAGAACGCCAGACATACCCCCGGAATCGAGCAACAGAACGTCAGACGAGTCCACTGTGGTGTCCGTCTCGGGGGAAGCCTTGTAATGAATGATGGCCCCATTGGGCCCGAAGCCGACGATCGATGTGAAGCTGGTCCCACGGAACAAGTCCTGCTGCTGCCGGTACTCGATCAGCTTGCTCGCCACCGACAGCTCCGTCCACGCCTTGCCCTGGCCCACCTGGCGCGGTCCGAGGGTGCAGGGTCAGAAGCAGGGCCGCACAACACGACCAGCGGCGGGTTTGCCGAAGATGGGTGTGGTTCAGGAAAGCCCACGCGGTCACTGCTGTGGGAGGCACAATTCGGCCTGCTGCAACGTCGTGGGGTTCCCAAATCATCACGTGCGACCTGCTGCCGTTATATATACGTATGACATTTTCCCCCGGCAGACACCATCTCACCGACTGCTCCAGCATGGCGAGGAAGTCGCAGAGAGCAGTGCTGTCGCGCAGGTGGGCCTGCTTCATGGAGGCCACCTCCACGGGGTTCTTCATCGCCTTCATGCGGATGATAGGCGACGGCTTGAAGAGAATCTGCGCGTCCGGCACCTGCCGAGAACGCGAAGGGCGGCGGCTTACGGCGGGATTCGGCCCAGCGGTGCTTCGCGCTGCGCCCCGGACATTTGGGGCGAACACCAGCGCCGCGCGCCGGTTTGGCAAAAACGCGCCCGTTGACAACGTTCATCACGAGACGACCCCAGGCCCCCTTAGAGATCTGTTTTGGCTGATTATATGAAGATCCATGACACTGTTGAAACGCGGGGCGATCACAGTCCCACCCAGACATTGTTTCTGGCTGATTAAATTAAGATCCCTGACGCTGTCGAAACACCATCACCATGCCCAGAGTGGAGGGTATTTCTACCTGGCGTTATTTATGCGCCAGAATCAGCTAAGTTATGACAATATAACATGCGGCAGGACAAAAGGCAACCATACGTTTCTTAAGTCATTGGGAGATGCGCTCTCGAGCGACTGACCTGCTTGTAGAGGGCGTAGCTGGCTCCCCCCGCGTAGCTCCAGCGGGAGGGTACCCACACGAGGCCGGTCCACTTGACCCGGGCCGTCTCTGCCACGAAGCTGGAGACCTCCTCGTAAGGGCGAATCCTGACGGGTCGTGAGAGAAGGCGAATAATTTCGCTTTTGTTGAAAATGCTTCTGGTGGATGCAAAGCGTTTTTGCCAAGCATTTGCCTTTGCTATTAATCTGTGTGTGCTACGCGCGCCGATCAGTTCTTACACCAAATTCGGCGCCCGGAGGCCCTCTGACAGCATCGAAGACGTTGTATCCTCTAGAGCGACCATCTGAGACTTTGCGCGCTCTCGCCGTTCACAGTGGCGCCAGGCCGACAACCGACAGCGGGGAGTCAGCAACGCTCGCGTGTCTCACATCATTCCGGCAGAACCCGAGCGAATCTCTCTGGACAGGACCCTGGGAAAGCTCTACTCAGGGCGCGACGTACGATCAAAGGCGATTTCCAACGTACAGCACACCAATGCACACGTCACTTTTGCATGACAATCCTCACGCTCGGGGATGTTGCCCCTCCCTCCCGCCGCGAGCCCCGTGCTCGGCCTCCGTCGCGCTGTTCCTGACGTTAACGTCCGTCAGAATCCGTCAACGGCAGCGCCCATGACGGTTATTGGTCAACGCGCGAAAAAGGATACATTTATTCTTCAAAAAGTACGTGAAGCGCGTTGTGGTGCACAGAATTGTGCAGTTCCATAGTCCGTGACGGCCATATTAGCGCTCCGGGGTCATGGCGCCTTGCGAACCTGAGCCTGGGGTCCCCACACAGAAGTCAAGCGCGGCTGACCGGACCAGGTCGCAACCCTTAGTCGGCGACTGGTGGGCGGTTTGCTCGGTCACGCCGTCGGGGGACGTCAACAGGCATATAAGGCCGTGTCAGCGGTCAGGCTCCGCATCAGCACTCGCCAGGCACAGGACCCCCCTTCCCACTTCCTCATGATCAGTAAACATTCGCCATGCATGCCATGCATGGTGCGGTCACCACCCTCCCCCCCCCCCTGGTGACGTGTCCTACATGACACAGTCGCCGGGCTCGGTGCAGTCGTCGGTCCGCAGGTGACTTCGCACCTTTCTCTCCCCCCCCCCCCCCCCCACACACACACTCCTGGTGACGCGTCTCACATGACACAGTCGCCGGGCTCGGTGCAGTCGTCGGTCCGCAGGTGGGCTCACACCTCTCTCCCTCGTGGTGACGGGTCTTACATGACACAGTTGCCAGGCTCGGTGCAGTCGTCAGTTCACAGGTGGACTCGCACCTCCCCCCCCCCCACTCCCCCTCCTCTCCCAGCAGTGACGGGTCTTACATGACACAGTCGCCAGACTCGGTGCAGTCGTCGGTCCGCAGGTGGGATCGCACCTCTCCCCCTCCCCCTCCCAGCAGTGACGGGTCTTACATGACACAGTCGCCAGACTCGGTGCAGTCGTCGGTCCGCAGGTGGGCTCGCACCTCTCCCCCTCCCCCTCCCAGCAATGACGGATCTTACATGACACAGTCGCCAGACTCGGTGCAGTGGTCGGTCCGTAGGTGGGCTCGCACCTCTCCCCCTCCCCCTCCCAGCAGTGACGGATCTTACATGACACAGTCGCCAGACTCGGTGCAGTCGTCGGTCCGCAGGTGGGCTCGCACCTCTCCCCCTCCCCCTCCCAGCAGTGACGGATCTTACATGACACAGTCGCCGGACTCGGTGCAGTCGTCGGTCCGCAGGTGGGCTCGCACCTCAGATGTCAGTTTACTGTCGTCGACGAACAGGTGCACGCTGTCCATGTCCACCACCGCGTAGCCCTTAAACTCTGTAATGACCCAGGCCGGGCCGGGATTAGGGCCAGCACGTGACGTCCACACTGGGAATTGGTGACGTGCGTGCTGCAACGCGCCTGCACAGACGAAAGATCGCAAGCGATGCCGGCGCACGTGGAAGAATGGAGGGTCGCACCGCCGCGACGAAGTTAGGCAGGCAGGACAGCGTGCGAGTTGACGTGAGGCAGGATTTTGTGTGGGGTTATTGAACCTATCTGAAAACGCGCAAGCCATGCCACATGGTGGAAAAACGATGGTGCTGGTGGAAATAAACATGACAGCATTGGCATGGCAGCAGAATGCTTTCACATTACACATTCGGTGACATGGTCTGCTTCAGGTCACAGACGTCCGCCTCAGGGCATGACCTGGCGTGTGCGGCATGTCGTCGCCGCGCACGTTGAGCAGCCAGGCGATCTCGTCCAGCTGCGCCACCAGCAGCGCCTCCACCTTCTTCGTGCGACTGGAGGCCGCCTTCAGCGCCGCTCGCACCTGGGCCACCTTGTCCTGCCAGGACACGCCTGCCGACGAGGGTGACCTAAGGTCGGCGACGCTGTGAGGCAGCGCGGCTGCTGGCTGTCGGCGGCGCGTGCCTCGCGCCAGGGGCGCAGCCGATGCCGGTCCCAGGCTGCCACGCGAAGACCGTACGAGGGGAGTTTCACATAAGACGCGCCGGCCAACGTTCGGGGACCCCAGCCCCTGGGCCTTGTTGCGACATCCCCCCCCAAAAAAAACCGATGTAGTGGACGCGGAGGGTGTTGCCCGCTGAGGAGACCGGTCAAATAGAGACGGGATGGCATACAACGGAACGCGATGGAAGCACGGTTGCTGGGGTGATTACCCAGACGTTAACAAGCACAGGAGATAACAGCTACATAGCTGGGCTGTTGCGCGGCGCGCGGCGCGCGGAGCTCGGGATGCCACTGACCGGCGTACGACAGCGGGTGCACAGTCAAAGGCTCGTTGCGCGGCTCCGGCCGCCCCTTCTTCCACAGGTTCGCGATCAGGTTGACGTCCACGCTGACCAGCTCCACGGAATCAGCTGAGGACACGACAGCACCGAACGAATGCCCGAAGGCTCGTACAGTGGCCCACAGGGACGGCCAACAGCGCCGCGGCAGCGGCAAACGCTCTACACAGCTTGCCTGACTTGCACTTGTCGGAATGTGGGACCAATTTGGGACTCCGTTTGTGGCGGAAAGTTGGGGCCAAGTCTCTGAACATAAAGTAATCAATTCACACGTCATCGGCGCGTGTATCTCATCCGCTTTTCGTCCACCCCCCCCCCCCCCCCAAAAGAAAAGAAAGAAATCTCAATAGAATGAATGTTTATAACTACCGAAAACAAGCCTACGAACAACTGGCAACCAAACCACCAATCAACCAATGCACTTCCCCAGAAACAAGAGCGTCCGCAATGCCCACCACGACAGCGTAGGGCGGCCGGCGGGAGGGAGCGCGCGTACCACTCAGCTGCTCCTTGAGGTTAAGCCACGTGCGGGCTGACATCCTGTGGGGGTCAGAGCCGACCCGGCCACCGGCGCCCAGCTGGGCGGCCAGCCACGCAGACATCTCCGGCGCCTGCCGAGCATGGAACGTCACGGCACGGCACGGCACGACACGGCATGACACGGCACGGCACGGCACGGCACGGCACGGCACGGCACGGCACGGCACGCAGACATGCTGCCGAGCCTGGAACGTCACGCCACGGCACGGCACAGCACGCAGACAGCTCCGGCGCCTGCCGAACATGGAACGTCACTTCACGACAGGACACGACACGACACGACACGACACGGCACGGCACGGCACGGCACGGCACGGCACGGCACGGCACGGCACGGCACGGCACGGCACGGCACGGCACGGCACGCTCACGGGCTTTGCAGTTACCGGCGCCAAAGCCGGCATGCTGAGCACGTGCATACCATGCGTAGACTAAACAACGTCTGTCATGCATTAGCGTGAAAATGATTTTGAAATTGTGCGACCGTTGTTTTTGACTTCGGCGGGAATATTACGCAGAGTCCCGCGTGTTTGACAGGCAAGTTAGAACCAAGAGGAGAATGCCCTGAGTTTTTGGGAGCACAAAACACGTGATATAATTAACTTTCGCATGACCATTACAATAAATGCTGTCCCCTGCAATAACTACTACACACAATGCAACAACTACTGCAAGCAGCACAATACACGAAATATGCGCGATGCAACGCAACCAACTAAGTGCAGTAACTACTACAAACTACAAAACGCGTCGTCTGCTACTCAAAATGGCGTAAATGTGATGTATCATTACGCATAAACAATGCCACCCAAATACTACGTCGCTATCATGCTACGCAAGAACTCCGAGTCATTTTCGAGCTACCCCTTCACTACAGTTAAAAGTGCAGAGCCGAAATTAGCTCGCGCTGGCCGCCGCCGCCGCCAACTGCTGACCCCCGCGTCCTCCTTCATGAGAAACCAGTTGCAGTCGAGCTGGTCCTCGGCCTGCAGGAAGTAGCGCCCGTCCGTCCAGAGGGCGGCCCTCTCGGCGGTGATGACAGCGGTGGCAGCCGATCCGCTGAAGCCGCTGATGAACTTCACGAGCTGGTCCTGCGGCGCGATGTACTCCGTCTGCGGGCGGAGGGGAGGGGCGGGTCACGAGATGGTGGACTCCCACTGCAGGCGGAGGGGAGGGGCGGGTCACGAGATGGTGGACTCCCACTGCAGGCGGAGGGGAGGGGCGGGTCACGAAATGGTGGAATTCTACTGTGGACGCAGTGGAGGGGCGGGTCAGGAGATGGTGGACTTCCGCTGCGGGCGGAGTGGAGGGGCGGGTCAGGAAATGGTGGACTTCCGCTGCGGGCGGAGTGGAGGGGCGGGTCAGGAGATCGTGGACTTCCGCTGCGGGCGGAGTGGAGGGGCGGATCAGGAAATGGTGGACCTCCGCTACGGGCGGAGTGGAGGGGCGGGTCAGGAGATGGTGGAATTCCATTGTGGGCGGAGGGGAGGGGCGTGTCAGGAGATGGCGGACCCCGACCGCGGGCGGAGCGCAGGGGAGGGTCAGGAGATGGTGGACAGGGGAGTACAGGCCACGCATGGTTCTTCCAACGGAGACAGGCTGAGCTGCGTCCGCTGAAACCGGTGCTGTGCTCGCTATTGCTGGTACTGTTCTCGCTGCAGATGGCCCTATGCTCAGAGGTGGCGCTATGCTCTCTGGATTCGATGTTCTGCCGGCTAAAGAGATACCATGCTTGCTGCAAGTAGAAATGTGCGCTGACGTGGCGAACTGCTTGTTGCAGCCAGTAGTTTGCTCCGGGAGAGGTGGGGCTGTGTTCGGATGTGGTCCTGTGCCCACTTTTGCTGGTTCCTGTTCTTGCTGGGTCCTGTGCTGTACCCACGCTAGGCAAGGGCGAAACATTCAGTCCAACAGCTGCCGTGTGTGCTGCTCCACGTGCGCAGTGACTTGAAACCTCGTCTGGTCGAACTGGCGGTAACGGACCCTGCTACGCATCACCAATAATTTATGCCCGGCGTGCGCCACGCTCAAAATCGGCTTGCAGTGAGTTTCAAAAAGACCCGTGTTTGACGATAAAACAGTGACGTGCGAAATATCCCTCTTCACTCATTGCAGAAGAGATGTTCAACTTCTTTGTAAGCACCGTTAAGACCGACCGCATATTGACACATCGCATGGCCACAGCTGGCATTGGCTGCCCCCCGCTCACTCGTCCGGACATCGAGTGTAACCGCGTCGGCGAGGTGGCAAAACAAGCGAGAACGGAGAACGTCTGGCAGCCGGGCCCCGACCGGCACTGCTGGAGACGGAGGATGTCTTACACCCCAGTCCTGATCGGCGCTGCTGAGGGCGGAGGATGTCTGGCACTCGGGCTCAGACCGGCACTGCTGAGGACCGAGGATGTCTGGCACCCGGGCCCTGACCGGCGCTGCTGAGGACGGAGGACGTCTGGCATCCGGGCACTAACCGGAGCCGCTCGGCAGGCGACAACATTACATCCGGCCCCATTCCTCTACAGCTGGGCCAGGTGCCCAGGCCGTAGGAGCCCCAGGTCACAGCCCGAGTTAAGCACCACGTTACGCGTGGACTCTCCCGGGGTGGGGGGGGGGGGCCTGTATGTGGTACCGGGTCACCGTCACTCTAGGCAAACGTGAAAGAAATGATGAAAAATCTGTTTCGCTAAAAAAACTGGATGAGTTCCCGACACTAGTAGATTAAAAAAGGAGCAGCTTTTGGAAACGGCTCCATCCCTACGAGAGCGCATTCCAAAATACGCGGTGATGACACCACGCACTCTGATCGTGATTATGTACTTACTACAGAATCGGCCGACACAATACCACCCATTTCCAAGTTGCAATACGTTAGACAGGTCATCGATACTAACTAACGTGTACAAATGAATTTTTTACAAAAATCTTGTTTAATTTGGCTATCGTTTTAACACCACGTACCGCCAGAACAGTTGTGTGTAGTATGTATTATGAACGAGTGTAATATGTATGATGTGTGTAGTGTTGCATAATAAACTTGATTAAAGGAAGTATCCCACACTCGTTTGCATTACCAGTTTTCTCCAAATCATCGGAATTCCTCAGATTTGAGATTCGATTTGAAGAAGCCGACCCTGCCGGAAAAATCTCATTGGATTCCATGTTCACCATTGTGGAAGAAATACATTTCATTTGCGTTGGGGTGATGTTTACAACACACTAAGGTGTCAAAAAGCTTGTGCATCAAATGATAGGATGGCTTAAAACACTCTGTTTATACAAAAAGATATGCGAACATGAGGCTATTATCCCACAAATTCAAGGAAACGTTATACCATGGCTTCGTGTCGTCCCCAACGACGTTTGCCACTCAGGCTCTTTTTGAGGCGCATTTTGGCTTTGGGAATGGGAATATCATATGACCCATGTGACACACTGGCTCAAACTTTCACCAATCAACTTCCCAGTAACAGGCTCTTGCCCGCTGGGCCAATCACAAACGTCATCTTATTCGCACCAATAGACGTGCGCGCGGTGGCTATCATGGCGACGGCGGTGGCGACTGCAGGGAAGAAGTGTAGTGCTGTCACAACGCGTTGACAGTGGCTTCGGACTAAAAAATCTGTAAAATTCATACCCTTACTCTGTCATGACGGTGCTACGCCAGCACTACCCAGTGCTATTATTAGGTGTAACTGGTTCTGAGGTCTCACTAGAGCATGTTTTGGAAATATGTCCTTAAGGAGGGACACGCCCTTTATGTTCTAGCTTCCTTCCACAACATTTGAAAACTGTCCCGCCCACCCCCTCCAAACCCACCATATACCAAGATAGCGGATTTCATGAGCAGTGGCGCAGCTCTAGTAGCGCCCCACTTGCAACTGAAACAAATGCATCAGACCGCTCTCCATTTCAGGGAAAAACGCACCATCACTTTCATATACCGTTTAAAAAGTCTCCCATAGATAAGAATGCGACTCTACGTGCCATCTGTACCCCTAACGGTGGTTATGTGAAGTCATCAGAAGCAGTCAGAAAAAGGTTTCATTGGTGGCCATATTTTGGGCGGAGGGAAGACCTCATCAAAAGCTGACGCAATCTATCACGACCAACGCAGTCCTACTTTGTGCCTTAGTGGTAAGTCAAGAGGGCTATTCCACGCTGAAATGGGGTTGGACATTGATACGCCTAGCTTCAAACTCAATCCCTGCAGTCTACAGTTACGTCCTTTTTAAGACTAATTATTTTGTTTCTGAGCTTTTTTCTGAGCACGCGAAATTGTACAACATTTTTCATGTCGCCTCAACTGAAGTTATCCAAACCTGCATTCCATCATAGCAGCTTAACACGAATTCCGCCCCCTCAATGGCCATACTGTGGTCAGTGTCGAGAAACGCATGATCACTGATTTATTCATGTCTGGAGTTCGTCAGCAAGAATGATTTCCAATCAGCTTAACGTGCAAAAACTCAAGTTTCGAACACGAACCACGTTTTGTGACGCTTCATACAGCAATTTAGGCAGTACCACTAGTTCTGACGGAAATAAGGCTGGAATTGAATAATTCAAGAATAACGTCGTAACTGAGGATGCAAGTGCACATAAAATCCCAAACCATGGAAAAAATGCATACAAACACCACGAGAAAAGGCCAAAGAACAAGCACAACGATATTCGGTTCATTTCACACGATCAGCTCACAAGCCACCTATCGGTGATTTTAAGTACTACAAGTGAGTCAACTCGTCCGCTGCAGTAGCAATTCTGGTATAGCCAGCCTGGTGGAGACTTTCATCTCATAAAAACGTTCCATGAACGCACGGTGACGCATTGAGGAACATATTTACTTTGTGAAAACCTGTTGCTTACAGCAGTCTTTTGCACTTAAAAGGAGTATTCTATATTTGCATGGGGTTTTGAACTGGAATAGTCATCTTGAAGAGCTTTTAGTGAAGTTCACAGCCCTGTCGTTCTTAAAACCCTAAACCTCTCAAGTTTCTGGCCTAAAGGCCCGTGAAAAGTGGGAGAGTATTTCTGGAAGAGTATTTCAAAGTCACCCCTGGCATTCATGACGTCATACTGGCGTCATTCAAATCGGCATTCCATATGCATGCACTGATCAAGGCCGATAAAAATATGGTCGAGTCTTTCATAACATGGTCGAGTCGTTCTAATATTGCATTCGTGAGCCCGATTTCAAGATATAACGGCCATCAATCGGTTCTCAATAAATTTTGTGCAAAACACGATGACGAAATCAAACAATGACGCATTGAAGAGCCTCTTTACTAAACATAGAAGTTGTGTTATCTACAGTCATCCTTTCTACTTAAAGGAACACCGATAATTACAATGAGCCTTCTTCATCATGTCTGATGTCATGTGCATATCTTCAAATGTGGAACATTCCCTTAGAAGCGTACCAATAGTTACAAGTGAGCTTACTCCACCATTGCATGCTTACCTCACTGTCGTCCAATGTGGAGCATTCTCTTTAACGGAAACTCCAGATGTGAAAATATCGAAGCAAGCATTTAAAGTGATGAAAAAGCTGACTTATGACTACTGATAGACCTTAATTAAGCGGAAAACGCTGCTCTAGCCAGCACACTTTCTCCGTTTAGTAAATATGCTCCTCAATACGTCATTGCTTGACTACGTCCCCGTTCTTTGCAAAATATTGATTGAGAGTCGACTGACTGAGTATACATGAAAGTCGAGCTCACGTTCTCCAGATATAAACGACTCGACAATTACATTTGTATTGGCCCTGGTCGCTGCATGGACAATGGAATGGCAAATTTGACTGACGCTACAGTGGCGTCATGGGTGCCTGTATGACATTGAAATAATCCGTACGAAATAGTCCGCACATCTTCGCGGTTGTGTAGCTTAGAAGCTAGAGGATTTAGACCTTAAGGACAGGACTGTACCCTGCACCGAATGATCCTCAAGATGGCTATTTCAGTTCAACCCCCCCCCCCCCCCCCCCCCACCATACAAATGCGGAACACTACCATTAACCCGGACAGCACACTCATCAGAATTCCAGGAGCTCACATAGCCAGAAGCCAACCACTAGCATGCAACAGGGGTTTCTGCCGCTGACTCAGTCGAGCTGCACAAGACGGGGCTGGAGTCATAAATAACAAGCACCATCTTCACTCAACGGGCAAACCGGTCCCAGGCATGGCAACACTGACTTTGCATGGTCGTCACCCAAACACGGCCAGAGATCCGTTTAACTATGTATGAGCGCGAGACAAAGGCACATGCAGTTCCACAGATCCTCACCATAGCCAGATACGCCTCCCCTCCCCCCTCTATCCCACCCTGTAAAGATGCCGTCCTCTGCATCAGACCAACGAACTTGCACGATGCGTGTCGCCAAAATCAATCCCACCTAGTTGAGACTTTTCTGAAAATAATCGTCAAACGCGCATTCCCCAGCTGCAAAACGCGCGGTCTGCAGTTTGCAACTCTGCACAAGTCGTGAAAGTCCTGTGAAAATGAGGTGATATAGTCTGAAATGTTCGAATGTTGTGAAATGAAAGCCTTGATCCAGATGCTGACGAATTTCTCCGCTTCTCCAATAATGTCATTACAGATCCCATTTCGAGGAGTGCTACTTCGCATTTAATGACGTCACAGATGGCACTGTTGCGTGCTGAATCGGTCGTTACAGATGGAGCTCGCACTTGACCGAGATGCGAAGGACGCTTTCTGTTTTAAGACACCAGACGCCTAACCTGCTCGCTGCACTAATCACGAACGTGCGCGGGCATCATTCGCGCCAGGTTGGGCCATGGTGCCGGGAGGACGCCGAGGACAAGGAGCACTTCATTCAGTGGTGTTGAGAACAATGGCGGCGCTACCCTCGGAGCAGAGTAGTGGCGGTCTGCCACCCGAGTCGTAACGCTGCGGTGGCACTGCTAACGGTGATGTAAAGGGGAGATGAATCGTCGTACGTGCCACTTAGAGCACACCACTTTGAATGCGTTCGTTTGGCTATGCTTTGGCTGTCCTGCCGTGCATGTCGGTAAGGAGAAATGCATGCAGCGCATTTGGTGACCATAGAAGTCAGATATGTCCAGCTGTTTCAACTGCTTAACTAGTCCGACATAACAGGGGATTTTAGTGTGTGTGCGACCGCTCTAATACACCCCATGTCACATGCAGCTTATACGCCAATGCCGGGCAAATACCCGTGCAAGTGACGCGGATGGAACTCAGTCCGCATGCCATAAATTTTCGTAAATAGATATTGATATTATGTATATTATATATTATATTATACATATGCATTTCGTATATAGATATTCGCGAACTGCGTGAATGTGCCTGGACACCAGCAACCAGAAAGAGTCTCACCCCCGTATCATTTTGGCAACGTTTCACGGCGACCACACCAAAAGCGAGGTATATCGGACGGGTCCAGGTAGCGTATTAGGTAGCGTAGCGTAAGCGTCCAGGTAGCGTAAGCGTACCACGTATTTTTTGCCTGGAAATCGGCCAGGTTCGTCCTAATCGTTCTAGTCGTCCTGCAAAGGTCCTGAGCATTCCATTGCGAATGTCAAGTAGCAGTTCCCATGAAAAGACATCATTACGGCCACACAAGGCCAAAACCCGAGGCCAAAAAGATGCCGTGGTCGCGCCAGCGTCTGGTCAGCTGCGTATCTGGCCAGCGTCTCGTTAGCTGCGTATCTGACCAGCGTCTCGTCAGCTGCGTATCTGGCCAGCGTCTAGCCGGCTGCGTATCTGACCAGCGTCTGGCCGGCAGCGTATCTGATGAGGAAAGGCACGCGGCGCAGCAAGTGGAGCTGCAGCCAATGCCGGGCGCACGCGCCGGCCAGCCAGCGCCGCCGAGCCCGGACCCTGAACTGTCGACCCGACACAGCGTCCTCTGAGGACCGCCGGCGCCTCCGACGCCCACCCCTGGGCTGCCGGAGCCTGCAAAAAGCAGCCGCTGACGAGAGGGGTCGACGCTATGTCCGCACCGCGCTTGCGTGGGAATAGAAGGTGGACGTTGTAGTGACGGCACGGTGTTGTGACGACAGCTGGTGTGGAGATTCGAGAGGCACTGGTAGTCCAGGAGACGCGGTCTCGGCGGCGCCACCGGTCCAGACCAGCCCGATAGTGTAGCCCAGCCCGGCCGGTAGTCCAGCGCTCCGCTAGGTCGGGTCGGCAGGCCAGCCTTTAGGCTCGGCGGTGTCGGCCGGCCGCGGGGTTCGCCCAGCCTATGGTGCAGCTCTAGTTGCTGCATCGTGTGTCTGTTCTTTTCGAGGTACGTAGCTGGGCTGACGCATTCTGGCAAACAATCTATGCCTCCGGGCATCCGGGCCGTTGAATACTCGATGTTTTTGCTGTTTCCCTCCAACAGCCCGGTTGGCCGGAACCACGTGAGCACTCCCTAGGTCAGATGTGATCAACAGCTTTCTTATGAGGTGGGATAGAAAAACACTCATCGAGTGTTGTTTTCTGCTCTCTTGCAAACTTTACGGAGCTAGCGTGGGCGCTCGGAGCCGGCGGGCAGCTGGTTCGGCTCTGATTTGATCGGACCCGTAACCGGCAGCCACTCGGAGGCGCCGGAATTCCCGAGATCCCAGCGGCCACTCGATCCATGGACACGGAGACTGTACATACGTCGAGATGTCGTCACCGAACTCGGAGAAAGGACATGCCGGGACCGCCTTGAACTTATCGAATCGACGTGCGGCCTTTCGGCACCGAGCAAGCCGGTTGCGCACGGCGTCAGCTCGTATCCAGGCTCGAGGGAGCCTGTTTTGGACGACCCCATCCTGCAGTTGGCCTTTCCTCTGCTGCGAGATTCTGGGAACGAGTTCCGCATCAACTACCGGCACGGCGTTGTCCTTGTAACATGCCCGGCCCCACAGACCGGCCAAGCCGCCAGGCCGTGCGCCAGCGCGCAAGAATATTTTTGAACAAATGTCAGCCCTCAGCTAGGCTAATCTGCTATACAGGTTGGTAAACGGATGCAGGTATGCAGGCGGAGAAACGGCCGCGCCGCGGTTGATGTGAGCGAAAAGCTGAAAGCCACGCCAAATAATGCGTCCAGGAAGGTGTGGAGCGCCGTGACAGCCATACGGGTTCATGGTGGGGCCACGAAGTATCCACCCCAACCCTCGGAAGAAAGTCCGAATCTGCCAACAAAACTTTGCACTTCAGGGAAGTGAACTGATCCGGCCTAGGCTTTCGAAGCCTCGCGGAGAACCGGTCGGACCGCGCCCCCTCATGAGCGCCGCCGCCACATACCTGGTGTTCGTCATCCATGGGCACGATGTAGGCGTCAATGGGCTTGTACAGGTCGTCGACCGGCGTCGCCATCAGCTGACGCAGGTCGCGCAGCCTGCGGATGCGCCCACAGCTGTCACGCACTGGCCGGCGGCCAGGGGGCCGGCGTGCGCGCGCTCGGCACACGCTGGGTCGTAAAGGGCTGCACGATTTGACCGCTGAACAGACGCCCGCTCCGGGGAGTGCTGTGTTCGGACGGGACTTGGGTTGAGGTGGTGCGCTGACGCCGGCGAACATGTCGGGGCTGGCCAATGCTTCAGACGGCTCATCGAGATGCACGTGTGCTGAATGACGGATTAGCGGAGGTCGGTTGACATGTGTCCCCATCGCCACGATCAGTTAGACGTCCAGAATGTCAACAACTGTCTGGATCGGCAGAAATGCTCGTTAAGTGAACATTTCCAGGTGGAGGGAGACCTGGCATGAGTGGACACAATTTCCTGGGATGAGTTCCAGTGCCGTGCGCAGCATAACCCACTGACTTTGAAAATCCACCACCGGTTCTAGCTGTAATCCTGGATTTACATCAACAATGATCAAGACAAATGCACGCCTCGCACCAAGGCTAGATCCAATTATAGTTCTCCTGGGTAGCAGCTGCACTTCTGTTCACGTCTGCACAGAACACTTTTCGACTTCCACATTCGTGAAGAAAGTACAAAGGCGTCTGAAGTACGTGTCGTTGTTGCGTCACAGTTCTGTACGTGTATAACTGGGCTTCGTGCGCTAGCGATCGGACACCTTCTTGAGACAAAACAGGAGCCACGTACGCGGGCGCAGGCTATCCCAGCAGGTGACACGTCCTAAAGCCGTAATCCGTCGGCCAGCGCTGGCCAGTACTGCGACATGCTGTCGACCTTGACTCAACAGCATGGCAATGGCGCACATTCGTGCACGGGTGCCTGCTGCCAGTCCGTCACTGCCGTGCAAGCCGGACGCTATTGAGGGTTTCAAACCGCTCACAACAACCAGCCGTCACCAACGCTCTCCATTCTCCAGCCCTTCAATACGGCCTGCAGCCCGGATTGAGTGCCCCTCAGTAGCCGCAACGCTATCGGCCGTTGACATTGACCTTTCAGGAGAGCCACTGACCTTTCGGTGGTGGTGACGCGGGTCTTGGGCTGCACGATGTTTTGCCCGCTGCAGGTGGGCCTCTCAGCGAGGTCTGGGTGCTGGTTGGGGTCCAGGGCGGCCGCCAGTCCCAGCGCGCCTGGCGACACAGCCGACCAACTCACCATGACAGCCCTCCCATCAGGACAGCGGGTTCAGGCGCCTCTCAATGTGAGGCATCAGGCGGACGTAGTAAGCCTAATGCCTAATGCAGGTAAGTCTTTCCATCCCCACCCGGACGCCGTGCAGATGTCGGGCGCGATCTTCTGGGAATGACTGAGATCTCACACGTAACTACCATTTTACAAATTACTATTATTTCACATATTATTGCCATTTCGCACAGTATTATATAGCATTACATTACTACACATCGCTATCACTAAACTATCATTACAACCATATATCTCCGGTGCATGACACCTAGTGACACATTAATGAAAGTTGCCAAGATATGGAAGCCAATTGCATGCACAACAGACTCATGAAAGAGTCCACGTCTCTATACTCGCTGTGACACCTCATCGCTGGTTTATCCAGCGCTCTTTGGTTCCCCTGGTTCCGCCACCGAAAAATGCGAGTGCATGTTTGAGATTGCTCAAGATCTAGATCAGGATCTACATCCTGCCTTATGACAGGATGTAGACCATCGAAGACATTGGGGCACGCACACCTCAGGCAAACGTAGCTTGCCGATGCCCACACGGTCGTACCCCAGGGGCTGACGAGGAGCTAGGACTAGGAGCATATTCACGTAGTAGCCACCGAGGTAACACCCCCCTTCCCCTCTTATGAGCTAATTTCCATGCATCCATGTATGAATACATGTCGATAGCTAAGAATTTAAGACGAACACGCAAAACTAAACAGAGAAAAACTATGTTGTGCTACGCCATCCATGAAATTTTGGGCCTTCTTAGTCGAATTTTCAAGTTGTGTCACGCGGCATGGGCGGTCGCACCGTGGGAGGAGGGGGGGGGGGGGGGGCATGAGAAGAGTGCCTCAACCTCACAAAGGCGCGACATCGTGGAACGAAGGAACATGCGTTTTGATGAAGCGTGTCAACGCACAAAATATCATCAGCCGCTAAACGTTCGAGATAGGGTTCTTACGTCACTGTGGAAACAGTAAACCGAAAGCAGTACACCAAGATGCTCCACAGCAAGCTCTTGCCTTTGAAAACACAAGAGCGCGCACTCGCAGCTTCGGTTGCTCAGCGCTTTTCCCACGTTTCTCGGCGGCTGTTCCGCATGGTGGACCATGGCATGTCTGCGGTGCCATAGTCACCCCAATGTCGAGGTGCCCCCGCCCCTCCCCCATGCTGGTTGCATGACACTAACACTGAAGCAGAAACTCCCCCGGCAAGACTGCTGCAATTTTACTTCAACTGCCTATATACTGATGCACATACTTATGGACATATAACTTAAATACTTATAAACTTATATACAACTGCCTATATACTATGTATATTCTTATACACAAAATAAGCACTACGCAACAAACCGGTACTTGAAAGCTTATGCCCGTCGTCAGTTCTAATGCAAAAACCTTGAGCAGTGATTACACACATCACTTTCATCGCAAAGACTTATACACGACACCAGTTCTGCCAGCAAAATGTATACTTGACTTACACACCGCATTCCTTGCACTGTAGACTTAAACACATCAGCGCTGCACAGCATAATGTATACTTTAATTGTACTCAACTGTCCTGATAAACTTACGCAGCCTTTACGTGCACGCGACATGATTTCTACTACTAATACAGATGCGTAACATATGTGCTGCACGAGAAAAAATACGCAAACACTCATAACCGTCATTGCAGCAATAGTAGCTCAGACGTTCTACAGGTATACGTGATATTACTTTTCAGTCAACAGCATTCACATCAGTGCTACACGGCCAAATGTCTTGCTCAAAAAGTTGTACCTTTCACTACGTTTACAGCAAAAAAAAAAAATGTATAGCCTATACTTAAGAGCATTACTTTTACAGCCAGCATGTTTAGGCGGCATGAGTGCTACACGACACAATTTATGCTGAAGCAATCTAAGCTCATTATTAGTTCTTCTACAAAATTGATTGTAAGTGACATAACCCGTTGACAACACTTCTACACAACATTCGCGCCATGCGACAGAATGTATGCTTCAAAAATGACAGCTGTCAGTACTTCCCGCAGCTGGAGCTAGGGACGTGAGTTTTTTCAGCACTTACCCCCCCCCCCCCCCCTTTCGGAGACCAGGAACCACCTCCACGCTGATCGAGCCCACAATGCTTTCATCGCCTTAGTGCATGTGGGCGAAAAATTAATACCTGATATAAGAAAAAGGCCTCGCACCTGGCTTTCCGGCATTATGGGATACACTAAGTTCTGAGTTTTTGAGTTATTATGCGAAGTTAAAGGCTCTCAAGAAACCTGGGTGGAGATACTGAGTAAAAGACATTGTTATACCCCATAACGATTACACTGATTACATCAAAGCGATTGTATCCAATATAACGATTATATCAAAGCTAAACAATTACAATCAACGATTGCATCGATGCATTGATTATAACAAATGAAGGATTATATGAATATATGAATTAAAACAATAATATTTCTCGGGTATTTAATTCGGTACACGAACAATACCAAAACGCCGATATTGGACCAAAGAAGTTATGAACAATTCTCTCTAACTGTTGGTCTTCTAGGTACCTAAACTATCATCCTCCAGTTCATTTGGTCCGGGTAGTATCCCGCAGATACCTGTGTCTCTAACGCCAGCTTCTTCATATTTGAGGCCAGTCCGCAACTATTCCGGTTTTTCACACATCATACGGGGTGGAAGAACGCGTGACTGCAATATGTGATAGCCTTCAAAAGTACATAATGTCCCAGATAATACCTAACCCACCCAAAAGTGGTAATCGTTTTTGCCGCAGAATCGTGACTGGTGGTATACGAATTCCAAATGGAAAGCAAAAACATGATCAGCAACAGCTGTGACATCAGCAATTCACCATTCATCAAATCGTGACGACAAAAGGTGCTCAAGGTGAGCCATCTGGCGGTCCAGGATGCGCAACACCTGAACTTGCCTCAGCTGTTCTGCTGTCCGGCTGAGATAGTTCGTAAGCAATAAGCCAATTTAAGTTAACGCGCCTAAGTGGCCGGTTGGATACCCTTCAGGCGGGTGGGGGTTCAATTTGACCCTCTGAGATCTCAGAAACTAGAAGAGCTATAGACACCAATTTCACGGAACTGTGTACGTGAACTCACTTAGTTCTAGGTTTGAGGTTTCTGAGTCATGACATTCGGTTCAAATAAGGTCAAGCAAGGTTAAGCTCCAGGTTGGTCTCCACAGTGCCCCCGGAACTTAGATACCAGTTTTAAGCAAAAGGTGACATGCTTATTTAAAAACAGTGACCAGGTCTGACCTTTCAAAGGTCATGGTGGCCAAAATCATACAAAACTGCAAGGAGTTCTGCATTGAATAAGCGACAAATATTACGCTAAGCAATATGTTCCTAAAAGCAAAATCTTCACCTGGACCAGTTTACGTCAATCACCTACTCTGGGCTTGAAAAAAGGCCATGAAAGTTGCATAACGCGGTTTCTGTTATCAATAAATTTGAAATGAGCACTAGAATTTACCCCACACAGCAAGCTGTAGAGTAAGAAAACAGGCAGGCTTTGACCTTGGTCCGCTTCTCCTAGCTTCGTCAACACTCGGTTGTTGCATCAGATTGAATGATCCCCTAGAAATTAACTTCGTTGAACCTACTGCCTGACTTTGACCTGCTGAAAGTCAGTGGCCTCGCACGTTACATCCAAATTTTTGAACGGAAATTATCCGTTATTCAATCGTCTAAAACTCTGCAAAATGTAGCGCGGCTACGCCGCGGCGTTCGCAAGTCATCCTGGAAAAATCTTAGGGTGGGTCAAATTGACCCCCCATCCGAGCGTGTCTCAAGGTTCCGACAAAGTTCATTGAACTTGGGTCAGTCATAAATGTCACACCGATGTCAAGACCAATCTGCTTTTTTACTGTAGATTTCGCTTTAAGGGTTAGCTTCTAAAGCTCATTTAGAGTTTTTGTAGACTTCCTTTGACTTCTGAAAGGTCAGAGTGGGACACTGACCTTACTTAAGCCAAGTCAACACCTTATTCTTAGGAACATACCGTGTAACGTAATCCTTGACGCTTATTCAAATAGAAAAAGCACTTATAGGTTTTCGTTAACTATGGCCCTCTCAGCGTCAAGCGAGGTGACTGACTTGAAATAAACGCCAATGGTCTTTTGCTCAAGAAAAGGTAACTAAGTTAGATGCGATTGTATAAGGAGGCCTGGCTGCACTTTGAGCACCAATCTGAAATTTGGCCTCATTTGACCAGGTCATGACCTAAGAACATCAAATTTTGGCATCACTGAGTTCACATACCGCGAAATCCACTCTGTAAATTTGGTGTCTCTAGCTCTCTCATTTTTTCTAGATCTCAATGGGGTAAAATTGACCCACCCAACAGAACGTCTGACATTTAACCAGCCCACCCAGGCGCGTATTAAAGCCTCCATATACCGATTTTTAACCTAGAAATTCTAACCCAGCGTCTGCTAAATAACACGCAGTATTTAAGGGACGGGACGAATTAACAGAACTGGACAGGACATCTTTTTGTCCTTAGTCGTTCTGATTCTACCTTTATCCTTCTCAATAGGTGTCCCTTTTGACCATTTGTTATTCGACTTCATCCGATTCTACTTTCATCCCTTTCAAACAATACCTCTAAAGATGCGCATTCAAGATGTCGCAACGGAGACACAACACAATCTCGCCAGTGAAAAACATCTCACCTCCCCGCAGGACGCACGAAGTTCCTTGCACGGCACGTACTCACATCGTTCGTTTACATTCCGCTCACGTCGGCGTGCATGCCGCAGTTTTTACATCGGCACGTCAGTAAGCAGGTACAAGCCATTAGGTGCCTATGGAGTGAGGTGGTGCGGAGCGGCGGCGAGGATTTAATACCCGTCCTTCTTACCGCGCCGTTAGCACCACCCCAATTCCGAACTGATCGTATTTTTTGCGTTGCCGATCAAATGAAGCTCTCTTTTCCGCCCTTGACGAGAGGGAAGGATCTCCCGCTTCCCAATCAAGGCAGCGCGTCTCCCAGACCTCTTGGACAGCGCCAATGGGGTTGAGTTATCTTTCATTGCTCAGCCCCTCCCCCAACTCATAAGGCGAAATTTCGCCCCTCGTACAGAAATCCTGCGTTTGGAAAACCCGCAATCCTCAATCGCTTACCACGTGAGCTGGGGAGTACCCATGCACTCCAGGCTCTCCACGGGCTTCCACAACTTACCCCACAGGCAAACTACCCGCATTGACAGCATCTTCCGCCACAGCAACCACGACGACCAGCGCTCCCCACCCGCACGCCGCAGTTGGCCGCTGACTGCCGGCCGGTGCGGCGCCCCAGCTGACCTTGGGCGCTCGGCGAGCGCAGCGGTGCCCCGGGGCATGTCCGGCGCGCCACCGGTAGAGCCAGATGAGCGGTTCGTCACGAGGCACAGAGGCGCGCGGCGCCGGCGGTTCGTGGGTCTGAGGAGGCGCGGCGCCGGTGGTTCATGGGTCTGAGGAGGCGCGGCGCCGGCGGTTCGTGGGTCTGAGGAGGCGCGGCGCCGGCGGTTCATGGGTCTGAGGAGGCGCGGCGCCGGCGGTTCGTGGGTCTGGGGAGGCGCGGCGCCGGCGGTTCGTGGGTGTGACGCACGGTGCCGGCGGTTCGTGGGTCTGAGGATGCACGTCGGTTTTGGTTGGTTGGTTATTCGGATTCAAGTCTTTTTTGGCCGGTCATGACCATCCATCGGGCTATGGAATGAAGGAGTATGGATAACTGTGGAGCAAGACTACATACACCTGAAGAGCTATCCGCCGATGCTTGACCCACACTCGGACCCCATCTGCGGGGTGTGTGCTCGGTGTTCGGCCGGGGGTAGGGGCACTTCGGTCCATTCATGGCTAGCGCATGCAGCCTTTCCGGACAAGCGTGGCGTCACGAGGGTGCAGGATAAAGCGAGCAAGGGGATGGAAGGGGGATATTTTTCACGCTGGCAGGAGCGTCACGTCTTATACATTTGGAGGAGCCCGGGGCTCGATACTTAGCTTTTGAATACGCCAAGCCGCCACATCCGGCCCGCAAGAATCCGCGTGCTTTTGGCCGAGTCTGATGACTATCTTCTGCGGCAAAATTTTTACAGCAGGAGCTCGGCGGAGTGAAAACCCATGGCAAACTTGGTTCACCAATAAATCCGGTTGCACAAGTTCAACAACTTTAAAGGAAATGCCCCACATTTCAAGCTACTGTTAATAACTTCAGAGTCGCTGACAGACTTCCCGTCGGCATTCCAACAGTAATGAACGAAGGCGGCTGGCTTGTTAACTTCAGCTCACCAAGAAGTGCTTGTTAGTTCTCGTCCTGATAGGGGGATCGATGCGATCCTCAGGATTATTTTTTAAGAGTACCTGTCCAGCATATCGCGCAATCGCGCCAAAATTTTCAGTGGGCTATGACAGACGCATTGCACGTTTTGACACCAAAAACACGCACCTACATCCTCTGGTTTCGGAGCAGGATCGGTTTTTGAGAACCACCGCACAGCGATATGCGGTTGGTGCGGGCGGCGGGCGGTAACCAACGATGCTGCCGAACGCACACGGCGTACCGGCATCATTACATAAAATGGAATACGCCACCTTTCTTGTACTTTTCACTCATTATATGACCAAAAGCGTACCATATGATTAATGATACCAGGGTTTCCCGAAATCCTTCTGAATATCCTCGCATTTCGAATTGAGGTAGCTGCTCCTGAGAGAGAGAACTCATTGGACTCCCCACTCACCACTATGAAAGTGATACACTCTATTCGCCTTGCTGTTTCCAAGGTGTGGACTCTGTAATGTTTGCAATACACCGATTTGTCAAGAGGTTTGTGATAAATGCTACGAAAGCCTGATGAGCGCTGTTTAGACAGAGACGTATGCGAACATTAACGTATTATCTAGCGAATTCAATGAAACGTTATCTGTGACTTTGATTTATCTCATATGACGTTAACCACAGGGGCTCTTTTCGAGGCGCACTTTGGCTTTGGGAATGGGAGCATCGCATGATCTACAGTCAGGCACTTGTTCAAACTTCAACCAACGCGCTGCTCGGTAACCGATCTTTACCGCCCGCTGTGCCAATCACAATCATTAATTCGCACTGACCTTATTCACACCAGTAGCGGTGCCACTTTTAAGCCCTCAGGCCCGCAATGTGCGGGTTGAAACAGCTCAAAAGCTGCATCTCTGACCCATAACAGCTGACAACGGTCCTCAGAAAACTCTGCAGTCGTCATGAAGACGGCAGTGGCGAGAACTGTTGAAGAACTTAAGTGTTGTTGCAAAGAGCTGAAAACGCTATTTAGACAAAAAACAATTATAATATTTCTCCTTTCATATCTTGATGGTGCTGCAGTGGCATTACCCAGCACTATCATTAAACGTAAGTGGTCCTGAGGTGTCACCAGAGCATGTTTTTGAAATATGACCCAAAGGACTTCCTTTAACGGAGTCATTGATAATAAACGTGCGCTCAAAACGCATGAAAATGTACACCATGGTACTCAGAATTGAATAAGGAAAACGTCTCCTTGGTTTTGTGTCGCAACGAGGCATGGCCTTATATGTAAGATGCTGTAGAGCTGGACAAGAGCGATATTAAGAAGAAAAGTTGACTTTTGACCTGCCATAATGGGGCCGGTTATTAACCTAGCAACACAACATACACACTGGTACCAATCGCAACATGTCGTTGAACCAAATCCATCGATGTTTTTCGCAAAGCTCTATCATCATTCGTTTGGAAATGTCAGGGGAGGGGTCGCGTTGACTCCTCCCCCTTCAGTCCGGGTTATGAAAAGCGGGCATCGGGGCGAGGGTAACTAAGCGGGTGAACTAAGTTGAATATCATTATGTTTGCGTGTTTTGGCCATTTTGTGGTGTTCTTGCATATACGTCCGTGACGGCATGTTCTACGTGCAACTGCATTATCGGTTAAGGCATTCGATTCCCAGCCTCATGTCCGTCATAGCTAGTAGAACCGCCCAAAGACCTGCATTATGTATCACAAGACGCAGTTCGTGTTCGAAGACTCACCCACTCATCATCTCTCTCGTTTAATCCTGCATTCTGCAGACCCCCGCTGCTTCGGTGCAGGCTATGCGCGTCCGCCATAGGTGTGCCGATGTGTCCCCTGGCGGGGGCCTCCGTCCGGGCGCTGAGCACACATCCCACAGAGCGATGCTCTTGTGTCCTGGTGCGACCGGCCAGAATCTGTCACAAGCTACCGATGTGTAGCAGGCGTCTGCTGGTAAAAGCTCTCGTCTCTCCCCACCTTCGTTAGTCCATAATCGTGCTGTGAAATTCCACGTCAGAGCGGACAGCACGTTTAGGAGATGATCAACTTTGGCATCCGTATTGTGACTGGCCTTAACCGGCGCGACCATGTGACTCCATCGCTACGGTAGCTAGGGTGGTCCAAATTCGAGGAACTACTCACCGATCGTGATATCATCACCATGCGGCATCTCATCACTGATCCCTGCTCGTTTGAACTCTTGCGCGAGCGCCTGCTCCGGCGCTCGGGCGTGTCCGTCCGCCGCATACGTGCTACAGACGACCAGCTGCAGTTACCTAGAGTACGAACAGATTTCGCCCGTCGTAAGTTTTCCCGCTGGGACTGGACCGCTAGGAAAAGCTTGCCATCGGAAGAAAGGCAGCAGACTAGCTCCGCACTGTTCAGCGAGCGGGGTTCAGGCGATAAGAGCCAACGTTACATTTTTCCCGCGTCATCTTTGCTTTGTACTTTGTGTGGATAATTGTAATTGCTTTTCTTGTATGCACTTAAACTATCATTTATTGCCTGTCATGTATTGTGGACATATGGGGGATATTAAGGTGGCTCTTTCCGACAAGTGATGGCTTGTTTTCCCAAAAGGTTGCGTAATATTTGTGGGAGAACGACACCTGCAGCTGACGTCAAAACATCTTCTCAAACAATCACAGCTTACGGTTGTTGTAACAATTACAGCTGTGTAACAGTCATGTAACAATGTAAACAATCACAGCTTACGGCTGTTGTATTTGTCAATACAAACCATTGATGCATGTGAACAGTTTAGAAATAAAATGGTTTGTTTTGTACCTTTTATGTCTTGTTGGCATCATATCCTTTAATGTCTTAACGGTGAATATGGCTAATAGCACCGAAAATTATGTTGATTGGTTATCAGTGTACAATGCCTACTTCTATCCTGAGTTTTTCCACTCTGCCTCCCAAAAAGGGAAGGTTCAGCTGAAACTGAAGAGCAGCAAACATTCTGAGACATGGGTCTAGGAATTAAACGTTGTGAGTTTGACGTCCTCTAGCTTGTACAGACTATTTCGTGGATACTATTTTGTGAAGACTTTCAAGGTAGTCCAGCTAAGCATGACGCCTTACAAACGTGACACGAATCATGCCACCTCATCGGTGGTGTGGTGTACAAGGCCAAAACCACTTTTATACAGATATTGGAGGTATGAATAGTACACGAAAAAGTATGAGTGAAAATTGTGCGTTGAAAATAATGAAAATCGCAGAAAGGCTAAAACACACCATACGTAAGAGCCTCTGCCATAAATGTCATGTTGTTCAGGCCTAAATGAACCACCTAAACGCTACCATTAAGACCCATTTTTACTTGAACAATTATTGCGCATTGGTACACCAGTAACTGCAGGTTGTATTGCAAGGTGAGCGAGGTAACAACATTCACACGGTCTCTCTTTCATTTCATTCATCGCATATTGATTCGATAGTGCGATTTGTGTATGAGCTTGTGTGCGCTTTCCTTTAACAATAGCATTACGGCGCGGCTTGTAGCGAGTTTCTACGAATGATCCACCTAACTCCCCAACGGAATTAGGCCCAGCTTTGGAGGTCTTGCTTGGTATTCATGAGTTCTTCAGTGATATGCTTGCTTGAAGAGACTGTTTCCCTCTTGACAACATTCAGGCAGACGTTAAATGTGATAGGAAACGCTCAGTTGTAAGTATTGATGTTTTTTAAGTGGAATAGGATGCTCTAAAGCACAAAAATGTCTCCACTTAGTGAATATTCTCAAGATTTCATTGTTTGATTACGCCAGAATTATTTTTATGACAATCTGAGGCGTTGTTGGACTGACCATATCAGCGGTGTCACTGTAGCGGACGAGCGATCTCACTTGCACTTCACATCATCGAAATGTTAATTTATGCGCGTGAACTAAACTATGTATTGTATATGCGCGTGTTTTGCCCCCATCGTGTTGTTGCACTTGTGTCCGTTATTTTACGTGATTTTAGTTATAATTTACC